TGCTCGAGATTCTTCAGCTATTCCCCAAGAAGTAAACAGTGTAATCCCAAAGCCTGTGTTGTTTTTAGTACATATCAATGCCACCTTCAAACCCTTTGCCTTATTCTCCATCATCTACCAAATGTAATACAGTTAGTTTTTAGCTGGATGGTAGAAATCACTAGGATCCAGAGAAATGTCTTATTCCAGGACACACACCTATTTAATAAGTCTAAACCTCCCTACAACAATATTAACAAGGGGACAAAATTCAAATCAAAATCTTCAGCCAGACCTTTTAAAATATAAGAAGTTAAATATCATAGTTGTTCTCAAATTTTTTGGTCCTTAACTTAGGAGGATAATTGATTTTCTAATTACTACACTAATGAATGTGACATTTTAATAACCTAAAATGAAAAATTAATAGGTGATTAATGCTGTGAATATAAATAAAGGCAAACCCTTACTGTACAAAGCAATATAAGTAGAGCCTATAAGAATGGAAGCCATGGGAAACAGTCATGTCTGAATCTAAATTCAATTAAAATAACTTGGTTTGCAGCAACAGAACCCAACTCAATACAACTTGAAGGAAAACAGGGAATCATATTAGAATTCCTCAAGTTGGCACCAACTAGGTCAAGATACTCACATTCCCCCCAATTTAAAAGCTAACACATAAATCTATACTATCTTATCCCCTCCCTTCTTTCACTAGGACACACAGAATATTTGTTTACCTACAAGATTTTTATAAGAATATACTTACCTGACAAATACAAAATACCAGTGAATTTATGTTTAAGAAACTTTTCTCTCTCCTCACAGGCTTTAATCCCATAAATCATTAAGAGACTGGTAATAGGTAAGAGACTTTCTTTAATGAATACAGTAGTACCTTTAAATTTTAACACAAGAGAACCTGAAGATTCTGAAGGCATGAGTTAGTAAAACATAAAAGGGACAAAGCGTATATAAGTCATCAGTTAATACAACAGAGTGACATATTTAATTTATGTGAATTTAAACAGGATTCACTTATATGACTTCAACTATACACTTTGCAAACAGAGATAGAATACTAACTAAATAATTGTTGTTTAGTCACTCAGTCGTGCCCAACTCTTTGCGACCCCATAGACTGTAGCTCACAAGGTTCCTCCGTCCATGGGATCCTCCAGGCAAGAATACTGGAGTGGGTTGCCATTTCCTTCTCCAAACTAAATAATTAGGTCCACCATTCCCTGAGCGAGTTAAGTCCTGCAGTCAGTGTGAGTGTGAGATGGAAAATGTGTCTGTTTCCTCAACGTACACTGAGGTCTCGTGTGCACTAAGGTGAGTCCGGGGCTAAAAGACAGACATGCACTCCAAGTCTAAATGTTCAACTACAGAAGCAGCAAACAGCTCCAACAAACTTCTGAAGAAAAATAATACAACTGAAATTGACTTATGAAGAAATGTTATGTTAGGATCCAACTTGGTACTTTCCTAAGGAATTGCCTCTCCCTCCCTGAAACAGTCTCTATGGGATCATCACCTTCTGCACTGACCTTGACCTGTGAAGTCGCTCAGTTGTGTCGACTCTTTGCGACCCCATAGACTGTAGCCCACCAGGCTCCTCAGTCCATGGGATTTTCCAGGCAAGAGGACTAGAGTGGGTTGCCATTTCCTTCTCCAGGGGATCTTCCCAACCCAGGGATCAAAGCCGGGTCTCCCGCATTGCAGGCAGACGCTTTACCATCTGAGCCACCAGGGAAACCCACTGACTTTAAAGACCCCAAAACTCACCTTTCCATAAGATTCCTTACATGTAAAAGAAAAAAAAGAAACCATCCATCACTCTTTCTAACATTAATGTGCAAGAAGTTTATGGGAGGAGCTGGCAGAAATGAGGATTAGGGACAACTATGTGCGTTAATAAAGGCAGTCTTTGAATGTAAGGACTTGGGTCAACCTGAATTAGGAATCACTTAATGTAATTTTCTGTGACTACCATATACCTTCTTGAAATAATGACCTACAGTACCAGAGTTTCTCAATATGAGGAACAGAATAATAATATTACTAATGTATAATCACTGAGCCACATGTTTCATTAAATTCAATGAATATGTACAATCTAACTTCCAAGTTTGTCAACTGATTCCTTTTAACATATACCAAATGAGGTGCTTTTTTGTCAAAACAAAAATAGTGATTGAGCACATAGAAAAATAAACTTAAATGTCCTCAAAACGTATAAGAAAGTGAGATTTCTTTTAAAAAAAGAGAGCAAAAAAAAAAAGAACATTCTTAAGATCTTCAAAAGCATTTTATTAATAAAATAGTTTGGAGTGAAGGGGGACAAGGAAACATTTATCGCCCCCCATTCACTGATACATGACATATGCACCCTTAAAATAACGTGGAGCTTAAAATATGTGAGCAGAACAACAAATGGAGAATACAGCTATAAAACAAAGTTCCAAACACATCTTCATCATCTTAATCCAACAACAACCCTGGGCAGATAAACATTAAATGTAAGTCACAGTATCTGCTTCCAACAGCAGGTTAACTCCTCCCTCTGTACCAAAAGTAACCCACACATACGTGGGCACTAAAGAGAATGTTAAAGAGATACATTCATTTTGATCCTCTCAATGGGAGAAAAAATTTAAGGCCCATGTTATAAAATGAGAAGCCAAGTGTCCAAGGAACTTAAATTTAAATGGAAAGTGGGTGTTAATTTTTCTATATATAGAAATGCCAGCAGCACCCTAAACACACTGTAACAACAACAACCAAAATCCTCACACATTTCTATATGCTGGGATTTACACCTGCGATTGTCCTTTATGTTAACATACTAAGACCTAATCATCATAATGGGGAAATGCAGTGGTACCCACAAGTCAATCTATCAGATAACTTGAAGTTTTAAAAGCAACCTTTCTGAAATGTATGGTACTCATTCTAGACTTCTGCAAACAAAGTATATTGGATTATACTAGTTTCTGGTAATGAATTGGGTATTTCTTGTGTCTGGTTTTCATAATTCTTCTATAAGCCAATAAAGAAATTAACTAAGTTTGGTGACCAAGTAGTGAATTACCAACTATCAATACTTTCAAGATAACCACACCCTTGAAATAAAAGTGGAAGAGAAAGATTATATACCGGTTGATAGCAAAACCACAGAATTATTATTAAGAGGAAGAATGAAATGGTGATATCAGAATTTTCCCAAAGCAAGTTCCACAAAACCTTCGTCACAAGACAGATAAAACAGTTCCATGGTCAAATACGTATGGAAAACTCTGCACACAATATTCACCCTTAAATATTTATTATTAACACTACCATAAAATATACTCTGAAAAGTTCCATAATTTTTTTTAAAAAAGTATTTTGCACGAAGACAGAATTTCCCAAATTTTTGATCATAGACTATCATCAAATTTTCTAGAGACCCAGTGTTCTCCAGTATTGTTGCAGAACAACACCTTGCAAAAAGTTCAAGCAGAAACCTAGAGTTGCAGTGGAATCATAAGAACAAATTATAAGCTATAGAAATACAAACATACAAACCTTTAGGTGAAGTTTTTGAAGAATTTGGGTGAGCAATCGTGGAAATCTTCCTATATCTATTTCATTTATCAGGGACACTGCTTTTTCATGCTAAAGAAATTCACAAAACACAGTTTTAAAATGAGTTTTCCCCAAGTGGTACTATCATTGCTGTAAGTTCAGTTGACTGTAAGTTTTCATTTCAACAACTGACTGCTATAAAGGTAAGTCTGAGTGAAATTAAGAAAGACAGATGACGGCCAACAAAGAAGACAGGACATTTCCAAAAGATATCCCTAGAAGTACTTCTGTTGAAAACGTCTATTTGGCAAATTTTCTCTTTTTTCTGGGCCAGGCAACTCTATTTAGGAAAGCCTGCACTCTGTGGGGAAGCGGTTCAATTTAGGAGTGGGTGTTGATGTATCACCTTAACTCAGAACTCTGAAAAGAGTGAGAGGAGGGAAGCAGCAATTACACCATAAAAAGAAAAAAAGACCGCTACATAGGAGATAATGGAATAAAAGCAAACACTAACGTACAATATCATTTGGGGTCCCTAAGCACACAGTTGTTTTAAACCCTGCTTAAAGGCACCCAAAGCCAGTGCTCTGGGACAGCCCAGAGGGATCCAGTTGGGAGGGAGGTGGGAGGTGTGTTCAGGATGCGAGGGCCACACACATACCCGTGGCCCATTCATTCCGATGTGTAGCACATCACAATAATGTAATTACTCTACAATCAAAAGTAAATAAAACCCTGCTTAAACTGTAATCAGCTTCAAATTATGTGATAAGAACAATCCTATTGCACCACGTTGGCTATGGTTCACTGATGTAGTTTGTCACCCAGGACACCGGTGTGAGGAAAGGAATTAGCTCTCAGAGCTCAATCAAATAAGGAAAAACTTCAAAATGACAAGTCTCCTCTTCAAAAAAACCGCTCTCCAGTCTAGACTGGAGTCTAGACTGGAAGTCATTCTCCAGCCTGTTCTACTTTTGCACTTTCCTGCGTCCACACACCACCTAGACTATTACTTATCTTTCAATAAATGGAGTCATTTTTACTTAATTTTATTTTATACCAGAAGTTTGTATCACCACCATCGACAGCCGACCTTACGTATCACGAACAGAGATTAACTACACATATAAATGAACAAAAGGAAATAAAGTGAAAACAAAAGCAATGTTACCAAATTCTGGTCAGATGCTGTTACCAGCCCCAAACTCCTGACCTGGGGCCTATTCTATCTGGATTGAAAAGGTGTATTTATTAACACGTGTTGGGTATTAAAGACCATCCAGGGAACAATGGGAGTCTCTCTCATACTCGGTCTGAAGGGACTGAGTGGAAACGAAAGTGGAAGCGGGTCACCTTCTCACGTGATTCCAGTACTACCCCAGGATGGCTTGGGAACCTTGCTGCAGCCTCGGGGACCAGTGACTGTGACCAGACCTCAGCCTCCAGCCTCACTGAAGCCCGCGCGACTGGGAGCCCGCGCCCAGGGGCGGCGCCCGCGCTCCCGCGCTCGCCGAGGCCCGCGCTGCGCCCGCGCCGCCGGCGCCCCGCCTCCGCCGGGCGACAGCCGGGCACCCTCTGGCGGCCCTGCCAGCGCCGCTCCCGGGGCGCGGGCCCCGCGCGCAGCCGGGGCGACCTGGGGCTCTCCCGCAGGATCGGCGCTGCGGACGCCGCCAGCCGCACGGCTCCCGGGCACCAACGGCGGCGGCGCGGCCGACAGCAAGCCGGAAGGCCAGCCTCGCCGCGGCCGCGCCCGCGCCCGGCCGCTCGGGCGGCCCCCGAGGGGCCAGGGGGCGGCCCCGGCTGTCCTGCCCCATCGCTCAGCCATTCCGAGTTAAGACTGTACACGAATTAATTTACTTACATGTACTTATTTACCTATTTTATATATGTGTGTGTGTATATATATACACACACATACACACATGTGATATATTTACCTATTTTATATGTGAACGTCCAGATGTTCCTGCTGGTTATAGAAAAGGCAGAGGAACCAGAGATCAAATTGCCAACATCCGCTGGATCATCGAAAAAGCATGAGAGTTCCAGAAAAACATCTATTTCTGCATTATTGACTATACCAAAGCCTTTGACTTGTGTGGATCACAATAAACTGTGGAAAATTCTGAAAGAGATGGGAATACCAGACCACTTGACCTGCCTCTTGTGAAACCTATATGCAGGTCAGGAAGCAACAGTTAGAACTGGACATGGAACAGACTGGTTCCAAATAGGAAAAGGAGTACGTCAAGGCTGTATATTGTCACCCTGCTTATTTAATTTATATGCAGAGTACATCAAGCAAAATGCCGGGCTGGAGGAAGCACAAGCTGGAATCAAGATTGCAGGGAGAAATATCAATAACCTCAGATGTGCAGATGACACCACCCTTATGGCAGAAAGTGAAGAGGAACTAAAAAGCCTCTTGATGAAAGTGAAAGAGGAGAGTGAAAAAGTTGGCTTAAAGCTCAACATTCAGAAAACGAAGATCATGGCATCTGGTCCCATCACTTCTTGGGAAGTAGATGGGGAAACAGTGGCTGACTTTATTTTGGGGGGCTCCACAATCACTACAGATGGTGATTGCAGTCATGAAATTAAAAGACACTTAGTCCGTGGAAGGAAAGTTATTACCAACCTAGACAGCATGTTAAAAAGCAGAGACATTACTTTGCCAACAAAAGTCCATCTAGTAACAGCTATGGTTTTTCCAGTGGTCATGTATGGATGTGAGAGTTGGACTATAAAGAAAGTTGAGCGCCAAAGAACTGTGACTTTTGAACTGTGGTATTGGAGAAGACTCTTGAGAGTCCCTTGGACTGAAAGGATATCCAACCAGTCCATCCTAAAGGAAATTAGTCCTGAATATTCATCAGAAGCACTGATGTTGAAACTGAAACTCCAATACTTTGGCCACCTGATGCGAAGAGCTGCCTCACTGAAAAAGAACCTGATGCTGGGAAAGATTGAAGGCGGGAGGAGAAGGGGACTACAGAGGATGAGATGGTTGCATGTTATCACCGATGCGATGGACATGAGTTTGAGTAAGCTCTGGGAGTTGGTGAAGGACAGGGCAGCCTGGCGTGCTGCAGTCCACGGGGTTGCAAAGATTCGGACACGACTGAGCGACTGAACTGAACTGAACTGATTTTCTATGTATACACTCCATAAGTATATATACACATATGGAGTGAGGATATTTTTATGTATTATGCAGATAGTGTGTGTATAAACAAATATTTAGGAGTGTGTACATATACACACTTTTTTGTTAAGAAAGCTTTAAGCACTGTCGGCTCAGCGGGGCAGGCCCGGGGTCACTGTCCCCGCGGAGCCGGGACGGCTCTGCCCTTCCTGTGGTTGCATCCTGGGCTCTGCGGTGCCCGCGGAGCCTGCGCTCCCGGACTTGATCCATTCAGTAGTGTTTGCTGAGCACCTGCGGTGTGGCAGGCACTGTGCCAGACACTCAGGACGGAAAAGACCCAAATTCCCGACCGTGGGGTTTGTCAGCAGTTACTTCAGTTCAGCCATGCAGTCCTGTCTGACTCTACGACCCCATGGACCGCAGCACGCCAGGCCTCCCTGTCCATCACCAACTCCCAGAGCTTGCTCAAACTCATGACCCCTCAGTCGGTGATGCCATCCAACCATCTCATCCTCTGCTGTCCCCTTCTCCTCCTGCCTTTAATCTTCCCCAGCATCAGGGTCTTTTCCAATGAGTCGGCTTTTCCCATCAGGTGGCCAAAGGATTGGGCTTCAGCTTCAGCATCAGTTCTTCCAACAAATATTCAGGGTAGATTTCCTTTGACTAGACAGACCGACAGACCATTGTAGGCAAAGTAATCTCTGTGCTTTTCAATAAGCTGTCTAGGTTGGTCATAGCTTTCCCTCCAAGGAGCAAGCATCTTTTAATTTCGTGGCTGCAGTCACCATATGCCCAAGAAAATAAAGCCTGTCACTGTTTCCATTGTTTCCCTATCTATTTGCTACTATACTGCATATTAGCTGAGATGAATTCCTGCAGAGACTGTAATTAATATAAATGCCTATATGTGGAATCTAGGGAAATGGTACAGATGAACCTATTTGCAAAGCAGAAATAGAAGCACAGAGGTAGAGGACAGATGTACGGACACCAAGGGGGCAAAGTGGGTGAGGGCTGGGACGAACTGGGAGATTGAGATAGACATTGTTATACACTATTATGTAAGAAAATAGAAAACAAATGAGAACCTACTGTATAGCACAGGGAACACTGCCCAGTGCTCTGTATTGGCAAAGGGGATACACATGTGTGACACGTGTGTGACACGTGTGTGAGAGACACGTGTGTGACATGTGTCTGTGTGCATGCGTGACACGTGTGTGACACGTGTGTGTACACATATGTCTGATTCACTTTGCTGTATAGCAGAAAGTAATACAACATTGTAAAACAACTAAACTTCAAAAAAAATACAAAAATTTTTAATAAAATAAAAGGACAGGAGAGCAGAAAGACAACACAAGTTCAGAAATACCTTAGTCTCCCTTAGAGAAAAACATCTAGTGCATTAAGAGGATTCAGAGCTGGGAAGAGTGATAAGACATGGAGGTTTGATCGGGTAAACTTCCTGGGGCAGGTGGCATGAAGAAGCCTTAAATTATCAGTTTGGTATGTACATTCAATCTGATAACAAATGGGGAGTCACTAAACGTTTTCAAGCAAAGAAAGTTTTGTGTTGAGAGGTGTGTGTGCTTGTTGAAGATTACTGTCAGCAGAATGATTATTGGATGGGGAAGAGGTAAGCAGTAAAGCCAGATAGGGAACTACTGCAATAACCCATGGAAAGCAATAAAGTTCTCTGCAGTAAAATGGTGCTGGAGAATGAAAAGATAGTGGATGAATTAGAGTTACTTTTCAGCTGCAGAATCTTCAGGAGCTGAGAAAAGATTGAATTTTATTTTTGTACCTAATTATGTTTTACTTAAATTATTTTAATTAGTTGGCATTCCAAGAGTAGTCCTGAAACATTCTAACTGAAAGGAGAAGCCAGATTGTAAATTAAAAGTGAATAATCTAAAACTCCTAGAGGAAAACACAGGCAAAACACTCTCTGACATAAATCACAGTAGGATCCTCTATGACCCACCTCCCAGAGTAATGGAAATAAAAGCAAAAATAAACAAATGGGACCTAACTAAACTTAAAAGGAAGTTTAAGTTCCTTCAATGAAGGAAACTATAAGCAAGGTGAAAAGACAGCCCTCAGAATGGGAGAAAATAATAGCAAATGAAACAACTGACAAAGAATTAATCTCAAAAATATACAAGCAGCTCATACAGCTCAATACCAGAAAAATAAACGAGCCAATCAAAAAATGGGCCAAAGAACTAAACAGACATTTCTCCAAGAAGACATGCAGATGGCTAACAAACACATGAAAAGATGCTCTCATTATCAGAGAAATGCAAATCAAAACCACAATGAGGTACTGTCTCATGCCTCTCAGAATGGCTGCTATCAAAAAGTCTACAAATAATAAATGCTGGAGAGGGTGTGGAGAAAAGGGAACCCTCTTACACTGTTGGTGGGAATGCAAACTAATATGGCCACTATGGAGAACAGTGTGGAGAGTCCTTAAAAAACTGAAAATAGAACTGCCATACGACACAGCAATCCCACTGCTGGGCATACACACCAAGGAAACTAGGTCTGAAAGAGACACGTGTACCCCAGTGTTCATCACAGCACTGTTTACAATAGCCAGGACATGGAAGCAACCTAGATGTCCACCAGCAGATGAATGGATAAGAAAGCTGTGGTACATATACACAATGGAGTATTACTCAGCCATTAAAAAGAATGCATTTGAATCAGTTCTAATGAGGTGGATGAAACTGGAGCCTGTTATACAGAGTGAAGTAGGTCAGAAAGAAAAACACCAATATAATATATTAAAGCATATATATGGAGTTTAGAAAGATGGGAACAATGACCCTATATGTGAGACAGCAAAAGAGACACAGATGTAAAGAACAGTCTTTTGGACTCTGTGGGAGAAGGCGAGGGTGGGATGATTTGAGAGAATAGCATTGAAACATGTATATTATCATATGTGAAATAGATCGCCAGTCCAGGTTCGATGCATGAGATGGGGTGCTCAGAGCCGGTGCACTGGGATGACCCCGAGGGATGGGATGGGGAGGGAGGTGGGAGGGGCGTTCAGGATGGGGACACATGTACACCCATGGTTGATTCATGTGAATGTGTGGCAAAAACCACCACAATAGTGTAAAGTAATTAGCCTCCAATTAAAATAAGTCAATCAATTTTTAAAAATTGAATATTCCCCACATGGGCTTCCCTGGCAGCTCAGATGGTAAAGAATCTGCCTGCAACGCCCGAGACCTGGGTTTGATCCCTGGGTCGGGAAGTTTCCCCTGGAGAAGGGAATGGCAACCCACTCCAGTATTCTTGCCTGGAGAATCCCATGGACAGAGGAGCCTGGTGGACTATAGTCCACGGGGTTGCAAAGAGTCGGACACGACTGGGTGACTAACACCACCAGTCCCACATGGATAATTGAGTCAATGGTACAGTGTGTTGAACACATACAAATACATTTGGTTCCACAACACTCCACAATTTATGCAGTATCTGAAAAAAAAAGTGCATGTGAATCTACATAAATTATAGGTCTCTGACACAAACACAGATTACCTCACCTAACACTATTTTAATAGAGTCCTAATTCCCTCAATTTTTAATCATTTCCCCTATGTCTTGATTCATTGCCTGAAGTCGAGCCGCTAACCAGCTAAAACTATTTTG